AACTTCATTTGTTTCAAGGAACGCTATCCTTACTCCCCTATGGAAATATCCAGTTCACCACATCACCCCAACATCATTCAATTTTCATCAATGCTTTACCTTTGAATTCTTCACTGACTGCACTTTCTTCATTCATAAAGCACTCTTTTTTCCTTCCCCCCCCCTTTTTTTTTAACTCTCACTGGATTTATTAATTTGCTCTTTTGGCTATTTTTTAAACATAAGTTTACTATAGTAGAAGTCCTGATGCACCCTAAAGTTATCAGAATTTCCCCCTCCTACCTTTATGTAACTAACCTTTTAGTACTACTAGCCTCAAAGGACACACATTGATGAAGAACCCTAAACAGGAGGCAACTATACTGAAAGACACCCAAATTTCAAAGAACATGCATTACAGAAATCGTAGTGTATCCTTCTCAGTGGAATATGAGTAACAGCATCTAAGCTTTCTGTCTCCAGCCAAGACAATAAATTCACCCTTATGTCAAAGCTACAACTGTTCAAATTCTCATGGCAAATGTCATCTTTTGCAGTTGACCCGGTGCTTTCAGGCTGTGCTTGCTCTTTGCTACTTAACATCACTGCATGACATTTCCAAATAATCTAGAGCACCCAGTTATCTTGCTCTTACATATTTCTATACCTGCAAAAATTCTCTTTAATGCTGTTATCTTTCTTGGGACAAAGAGGGTGCCAATGCTAATAATATAAAAAGGAGGACAGATTGGAAAAGCCTGCTCCAGACTTGCTTCATATCATTTAGCATTCCCAGATGCCTGACTTAAGTATTCTTCCTGTGGTATTTGTCTGAAGGACAAAAAGAAATTTCACTGCTAGTGTGGAATTCATTTTTGTTTTCAAGAAAAAAATAATAAAAATCAGAAGCATGTCAACATGCTCCCAAAAACAGTATCTCAGACTGTTTCCTTTTCTTAATACCAAGGCAGGGAAAAAGGCAGTACTTCAAGTAATGGTAGTACAAGTCAGTAAGGTCATTGAGGGGCATTCGACACTGAAATTCATTTTCGTTTGTATATTACGTTTTAGATCCAAGTTCTGATTAGTCTTTGAACTAGTCAATCAAGAATATATACGGCTATCAACTGTTGGTCCATCACTAAGTTAAGTGGAACCTGTGCCCTATGGAAGAACTATAGACCGTAGTTAAAAGATGGATGAATACCCATATTAAATATGTTACTATTACATTGTTTCTAAATGCATGTCACTATTACATCTTTTCTACGTACTCTGAAAACAGGTTCACAGATGATTATGCTGAAATCCTGACTTAGTATAACTGAAAACGCAATTTAAATGGTCACCACCTTTTATACTCCAGCAAGTACAAAAACAACGCTATCTTTCCAATCCTGAAAAAGCAACAGCATACAATTTATGTTGTATTTACCTTCAGACTTGTAAACTTGATGTTCAGACTTCAGAAAACTTATAAGTGAGCTGATTTAAATGCTGGGTTGGAAAATCCATTTCTGCAGGGGGAGGGGAGGTGTGTTGTGTCATCTTTTGTGTACCAGCAAAACACATTAAAACAGTAGAAAGATTGCTTCAATTACTCTGAAGCAAGAAGACTGCTGACATTGAAACTGACTTGAAATTTGGTTTGTTTGATGAAAAAATACATAAAAATTGCATGATCCTTTCAAGTGATGCCTCATCTTCCTCACAAAGAAAAATAAAGTGCAGAAAATTAAACTTCACAGCATTTACATCTTTTTTGAAATTTCAGGTAGGAAAGAAAGACTTCTCTGCTTTATGCCTTTATGAGTCTATGCTCCAGATCTTACCTTTCCACATGCTCTAAAGTGTTTCCTTGAAATACTTGACTACATCAAGATATCATACTCCTTTTTTCTTCCTTTGAACTGACAGCTTGCTCTTTTACTAGGAGGAAGGCTCCTGATCCACCTGAGGATTTGCAACTACAGAACAAACTCAGTGGCCTAATAGCAGTTAAGGGGCTGGGAGCTCTGTCAAATGTATCATCTGTGTTAATCTGAGCCAAGCAGCAGCAAAAGAGGGAAGCGGCAAACGTTAGCAAGGGATGAAGGACCCTCATCTTCTGCCTGACTCATCATCTAAGAAAGGTCGCTGCTTGCTAGGGGTTTGAATTCATGGCGTTGTTGAAAGACTGGCAAAGCTTGTCCAGTCCTTAGGCTAATACTTCTTCTGCTCTTCCACCTGGGCACCAGCTATACAGACAGGAAGACCTGGAAGTTACTACGTATGATTACATCGCTCTGGAAGCTGAGGTCAAGGCCCAAGTGGTGTTCTCCCCAGTCACACCAGATAGAGGGAAGGGCTTGAGAAGAGGACATATTCTGCAGGCCAACAACCAGTTATGAACTGATGTTGGCAGCAGGGTTTTGGTTTCTATGACCATAGAACCCTCTTTGAGAATTGAGGAATGCTTAGAAGAGATAGGATCCACTTGACTATGGTGAGCAGAAGCATCTTCACCAACAGGCTGGCACACCTGGGAAGAAGTTTTAAACAAGGAACAACGGAGGAGGGAAAATACAACCAAACATCTAATGACAAAGTAGTGGACTTTGTTGTCAAGCAAAGGGTGTGGGACAATACAAACATGAGATACCTTACAGTCAACAAAACAGGGCTGAAATGGGGTCATCCCAAGCATATGCACATAAAAAAGAAAAGGCCTACAGAAAGACATTACAGCGAAAGCTCTCATTCTGCAGAATCAAAAAGTCTGGATGCACATGTAAGCCTATGCACTTGATGCATGTAGCACAGCGAACAAACAGGAGTGTTTAGTTACAAGGCCACAGGATCTAGCAACTTCTTCAATGGGATCAAGAAGATGTGGTAGGATGGCACACATGACAAGGCTGCTGCCATGAATGAATACAGGATCTTTAGGACGAACAGGTTGGGAAGGCAGTGACTAGGAC